CCTTTGCCTCCTAGTTCTTTCCTCTATTTCCTTTTACTTTCCTCTTGTCCCACTATCATGCTCAGCCTTCATTTGGGTTTCAGTAATTCCTCTAGTTTACATTGCCCTTGATCAAGCCCTACCAGTCCTCCAACACCCTCCTTGCCATCAATTTTGGATCACTTGTTGTTCCCTTGTCCTTGGGGTTGTTGGCACCCACTTCCTTTCCCCCACCTCCCCCTTTCCCATGTCCTCCCATCAGTCCCATTGTTTTCTCCTCCAGCTTGTTTATCCCACCTATCTTATCTAGATAGACCTGCAGAGATACTAATATGCACAAAAAACAAGACAGAGCAAAACAAAGCAACAAAAGAAAACAAAACCAACAACAAGAATAAAAAAGAAAAGCCTGTAAATAGTTCAAGGTCTGTTTGTTGACCTTTAGGAGTGATTCTCTGGTTGAGTGTGATGGGGTGCCACGCCTTGTCCCAAAGTCTATTTTTGGTATTCGACCAAGGGTCCATTTCAAAGGAAATAAACCATGTGAATAAGCACCAGAATGTAAGTAGCACAATACATCAACTGTTTCCTTCCATTTCTGAGTTGAGACAGAAGACAAACAAAGGTAAGCCTGTTTATCACTCCAGTTCCGTCTGTCGAAATGGTTTCCAGAAGAGACTTCCCTAATGTGCGTTCAGCGCTGCAGCCATGGGCAAGGCTGCCGTGCTCCTCTCCTTTGCTGATGGAAACCATAGCCAGATTTCGAAATCTCTCATTATTAATAAAGTCTTTTTTTCCCCCTTAAAATGTGTCAGTTTCCTATTTACTAAATTATAATTTAACAGCATTTAATGATTTTACTTGTGTACCTCCAATAAAGTGTAACTATAATATGTTTTTTTTTTAAGTTTCTGGACTGTGGTATAGGACCAGATAATAAATCTCCCTCTCCGGTTCCATGCCAACCAACTATGATGATTGGATGCAATGCATGGTGCTGAATACTACCCTGGAATGAATCATAAGATCCAAGAACTGACAAGGTACCACAGGAAACAAACATTATATGAATTTTAGCAGTAAGTTCTTACCTGAAGCACAATAGGATCTATGCAAGTAAACTTGGTTTCTTCTCTATAAAGATACTCAATGGAACACTTCAACAGAAGGATTTTGGGATTCTTAATACAAGAATTCATCTACAAAAAAAGAAAAGATTGTTAATGCTCTCAAAGGTTTGCACTGTTCACACTTCCTCCTATCACAACTTGAAACTGAAAATGATCATAACTCCTCAGCCCTTTCATAATAGTCTAGTTGTTTTTTCCTAAGCAAATAGAGCTCAGATTTTTCAAATACAAATTTCTCCAAAATTTGGCTGTTTCCCTCATGTTGGTTTATTCTATTCTACCATGCTACAAACTGCATTTGCCAAGGAGATACACTGCACGGAGAGAGCACACCCTCATTTTAAGGGGCCTTGCTTGAGATAAGCTATTTCACACACTCCAAGAGATCAGTGGCTTTGAAAGGACATTTTAGTCTTCGTAAAATCCATGAGGGTTAAATCAGGAGAAAAGAATTACAATGTTTCCTGAAAATATTTCTAAAACATTTGTAAGTGGACACAGGTTGGCAAGCAGGCTTGGGTAACAGAAAGTTCGCAAGGAAAACCTTACTGCATCTCCAGAAGCAGAGTTCAGACCCACAGAGCTGAAACCACAGGCAGAAAAGCCAGGGCCCTGCTAGCAAGAAAAGAGCTCTTCCATGACCAGGTTTCTGACAGGCCACACCTACAGACCCAAACCAGTCACCAGTTCTGAAACCTGTAACTCGCCGGCTGGGGAACCACATTCAGGGTACTTTAGTACCTACAAATTAAAGACTATAAATCCCTAAATACAGGCAGTGGGGCATCCTCCACATGCACCTGTAATTTTCTTCAAATCCCAGAGAAGAGCAAAATCATATTTATCTCTTAATTCAACAAAGAACACTGAATTTGGTTTAAAATATTACTTTAAAGGATAATGGGTTTTTTCAGTATGACTCTATGTAGAAACGCTGTCTGACTTTGGTCACTGCTATAAAAATCAGAACCAAGCACACTGTATTTATCTATGATCAGGAATGATTTTCAGGAAGCTCATTGTTTTTATCAGCTAGAAGTTTAGAGTCCTTTGATGGCACAATGGTTAGGCGCTGGACTACTAATCAAAAGGCTGGTGGTTGGAACCCACCCAGAGGCACTTAAGTGCGGCCTGGTGATCTACTTCTGATTGGCTGCAGGTTTGATGGAGCAGGTGAACTCTGCACGTATAGGATCTCCACACTCGGAACGGACTCAGTGCAACTAATGATTTGGCTCTGCTTAAGGAAGAGAACCACCACCTAGTTCATCCATCCAGTTGCTCAGGCCAGAAACCTGCCTCGGCTCTCCCCCTAAGCAGACCTGTGTCTACCACAGAGGTGGGGCAAAGTTGTCTCTACTTTTAACAAATTCCCTTGGTGATTTTAAAGCACAGCAAAGTTTGAGAACCCTGCTATCAGTTGTGTCTCAAAATGTGTTCTGTGGCTCAAAAAGCAAGACTGGAAACACTTGGAGCTTTCCACCCTCTCCCACCCACCACACACATGTCCATGAAATACCTCAAGCCTCCCCACCCTGACAGGCCACACACACGCACAGGCACACAGCTAGCTCTCTCTAGGGGCTGGACTTGTTGTTGTTAGGTGACCCGTAGTGACCCTGCACACAATACAAGGAAGCCCTGTACAGTCCCGCACCATCCCCACAAGTATTCCAATGCCTGAGCCCACTGTTGTCGCCAGTGTCTCTCCACCTCGCTGAGGGCCTTCCTCTTTTTTGCTGCCCCTCTACCAAGCATGATGTCCTTCTCCAGGGACTGGTGTCTCCTGACAACACGCCCAAAGTATGTATGACGAAGCCTCAGCATCCTTGCCTCGAAAGTTCTTCCAAGACGGTGGTTCTCAACCTTCCTAATGCTGCGACCCTTTAATACAGTTCCTCGTGTTGTGGTGACCCCCCTCAACCATAAAATGATCTTCGTTGCTACTTCATCACTGTCATTTTGCTACTGGGTCGTGTCCCACAGGTTAAGAACGGCTCTTCCTTTTGACAGCCCATGGTGCTTTCAATACTCTTCTCCGGCACCACAGTTCCAACGCATAGATTCTTCCTCAGTTGGCCTCATTCAATGTCCAACTTTCCCATGCACGTGAGCCAACAGAAAATACCATGACTTGGACCAGGCACACCTTAGTCCTCAGAGTAACACCCTTCCTTTACAACACTCTGAAGAGGTCTTGTACAGCCGATTTACCCAATGCAACAAATCATTTCATCTCCTGACTACTGCTTCTATGAGCACTGATTGTGGATCCAAGTAAGAGACCTTCTTCAATCTTTTCTCCATTGATCACGATGTTACCTACTGATCCGGCTGTGAGGATTTTGGTCTTCTTTGCACTGAGTTGATATCCATACTGAAGGTGGCAATCCTTGATATTCCTCAGCATGTCCTTCAAGTCCTCTTCACATTCAGCCAGCAAGCATAAGCCCACCCCCTTCTGCACGTAAAATTTTGAAGGGGTTAGGCTAGGGAATCTACACTTTTCACAAGGCTCTCAGGCAATGCTGAAGTTTACCCATCGCAGTATATAAGGGCTTTGCCAGCATCTCCAGCCTGAACTCTCACCACTTCCCACTTGGCACCGGAAGGTTTCAGAGTGCCCCATACACCTGCTCCTTTGTGCTAGTGCCAGACAGTGGGTGGCCGAGTGAGTAGCAGAGAGAAGGCCAACAGAATGCCAGGGAGAATTCAGCAGCTCAGTCCTCAAAGAGAAGAACCGTGTTTTAAGTGTGAGGCCTCTGGAAGGAGAGCAGCCTGTTAAGAAACCCTGGTCCCCCTGAGCTGTGGCAAGGTCAGGGGAGGAAGGACACCAGGACCCCTTACCCCGCCACCCTCACTCTGCCAAATGTATTTGACCTCATTCCAATATGACCTCATTCCAATCCCTTCATCATCTGGGAGACCTTCTGGGAGAGCTTCCCTGAACATCCAAAACCAACTAGAAGGTTCCACCCAGTGCAGGCCCTGTTAGCCGTCTCTCAGCTTCCCCTCTCTTGCTCCCATCACTAGAGTACCTCGACTTCTCAGGCATGCATAAAAGCCACCCGCCCTAGAGAGCGCTCTCCCTGGGCCCCCCACAAGTGTGACTGAATTCTAGAAAGGATGTAGGCAGAATGGGTTCGGCAACTTCCAGGATCCTGCCTTAAGAGGTGAGACATGTGTCTCTTTGCTAACAGAATACCTTCCTAACTCTTCTTCCACTCTACTGCCGGGAGTGTAGATCCGCTAACTTGGGCCTGAAGGTCAAGGCCACACTAGGAGGGAGGAACATGCCAGCGCTGCATTATGTTTACATGAAAGAGAAATCCACTCCAATCTTGGTGAAGCCACTGTTATTAGTTTTCCTGTCATCCACAGTTGAACCTAATTCTAACACTTTACCACTCCTGAATTATGAGGACACAACGCTATAATGCCATTCATTAAGATACATCGCAATTCCAGAGTCATTCAAGTGGGGGTGGGGGAGGAAAGCATTTCTATTATTGCACACATTATCTGTAGTGTAGGGCTACACTATCTTTCCCACTAGACCAAGCTACCTCATTGCCCTGGGGTCCATTCCAACACATAGCAAGTCTGCAGAGCTGCCCATGGGGTTTCCAAGGCTGATGCTGGGCGCTCCATGGAAGCAGACAGCCACAACTTTCTCTCCATATCCTTCTGGCCATATCCAACTATGCCACCGGGGTTCTTTCTCCACTAGGCCATGCCTGCTTCATGGCCAGGACTGTGTCTTATTTTCCTCTGTAATCCTGGATCTGGCACACAGAGGCATTCAGGAAGGGCTTCTGAAAGTCACCATTGAACTACATCTTCTTACCTTTTTATGTGCAATGTTCTTGGTGCAGACGAAGCCATTGACAACCACAGAATCAAACTTCTTTCCACCTGGGATCTAAATGAACAATTAAAAAAATTCAGTGACATACCTTTAGATTACAGTCGTTATTTTTTATCATTTGAAATTTTAACTATGGTGTGGTCAAATCATCACAAAGAATTGCAGGATCTATCTCTTCCTTTCAACCAATGACTGACCGCACTTCAGCATGGCTGTCTACTAGCCCACCCTCTGCTCTGTGATGTAGTATCTTGGTATCTGACCGAACCATGACTGTATGTATCATAGTCCAAAAATACACACAGAATTCCATTACTACTTAAATAAAAATTTTTTTAAAGTACCCATGGCTCTTCCTCAGAAGTGACAGTAATCTGTGGGATTACTCAGAGGTGATGTGTCAAGAAGAGGAAGCAAGAAAAGGATAAATATATTGCTTTGTGTTCCCAACTCACCCCCCTCCCCGCCGACTCAACTCCTCCATTCCATTCACCTTTCACTTCCTGTGAGCAGCTCTCATGACCATGCGCTCCAGTACTCTGCCCACAAACAGAGTAGAAGCAGGAGCAGGGCTTCCAACTGGTTTGAACCGGTTAATTCATAGCCAGCCCAAGACAACCCTAACAGACCTTAATTTTAAAAATGTGGGTGAAGCAGAGCGCTAAAGAGAATGAGAAAAATTGGGGCCAAAGCCCTGGAATGAGCAACTAAGAATGAGCCCTTTCAGAGGCCTACTGAGGGAGTGGGTTACTGCCTGGCCTATGGAGAGCAACACACATTCCAAGTGGCCACCATCTTTGACCAGGCACCACTGTTTTAACCTATGCCAGCCAAGAGATGTGGTTGCTATGTAACACACAAGCTGCCCTGTTTTCTAAGAGGAAGATTATTTCTAGAAAGGCATCAACCTGTAATTTTTCCTGTTCTGGTGACTGTGCAAGCTGACCCATATCTTACGCATCCAGGTTCATTCCGCTGTCACTTCATTGGTCATAGGAGAACCAGGAAGAACTGGTTTGAGCCTGGGACAAGAGCTTCCACTGGCCTTCCAGCAAGCTCCTTTTTGGGTGACCACTGAGAGAGAAGTTCCCCTCGGGCCAGCCTCATCAGCACCCAGCATCAGGCAGGCCCTCACAGCACTCACCTTTTTGACGTGGACAAACTGACGGATATCCATGTCATCATCCCGGTTCTTGACATCGGGCCGGACTGTCTGAACAACCTGGCAGACCAGTGGCACGATGATGTCCCTCCACAATGGTGACAATGACTCATTATGGAGCAACTGTTCAAGTAGTGCCATCATGTGGTTATGATTAGCTGAGCTACAAAAATGTCACAGAAGAGAAGTTTGCACAGTTAATACTGCTAATGGCAACAATAATTCCTAAAAGGCAGCAAAACCAAGAAATCAAACTCACTGCCATCGAATCAATGCCGACTCACAGAGACCCCACAGGAGTAGGTAGAACTGACCCCTGTGAATTTCCAAGACAGTAAGTCTTTATGGGAACTGAACTGCTGATCTCAAAGTTAGCAGCTCAAGGCGTAACCACTAGGCCACCAGGGCTCATTCCTAAAAGGTAGCAAGCCATCTACAAAGGAAGACTCAAGTGGATAGTGGTTCACAGACTTTCTGGTTCAATCGTCTGCTTTCAGTTTATCTAATCTTAATGGTTGTTGTTTTTTTTTCACACATATAACGTCTATGAATATCTATAATTGGGATGCCCCCGTTAATTAACTAAAAAAAACAATTTGGCACATTCCAATGGGGATAGTCAAGCACAATTTGGGACTCCTGTTCATAAATTTCAGCAGAATAGGTTTTATTTCCTAAATAATTGTAGTGCATAGAACTTCAAGTCACCAGTGATTATCTAAACGGACAACAGAGTTGAAAAGCTCACGGCCTTACAGCAACCTCTCCATGGCCTGCTTCTCCCCGTTCTCCTCCCTCAAGAGCTCCAGGTTGCTGTGGTGCCAGCCCAGGGGCGTGAAAGGAAGCTCTTTGGATTTCTCCTCTACTCGGCGATTAAATAACGATTCTAAGGAAAGAAGGAAAGAAGTTATTACGTCCCTGTCATGGTTCAAATCACCTTCTATTTCTAGAAATTATCAGTTTCTCTTTTTCTGTTTTTTTAAGTAGAATAAATCGATGGCCAACTTGAGTTGGCAATTACAGATATATAAAATCTATGGGTATAAATATCTAAGGAAATGCACGCGTATAAATAGCTAAGTATAAGAATTAAGTAATGAGATGATCAGGAGTTGGCAACAGCCGAACCAGAGACAGAATGGTGAAAAGCAGATTCACACAGGAAGCCAATAACTACAAGCACACTTTCTGAAGAGCACATGAAAATAGGTTTTTACATAGGTTTTTATTTATTTGGAGAGATTAGAAAAGGGGGTGTGCATTTTCCCTATAAAGTCACAGACTGAGACCTGCAGGCAGCAGAAATCTGGATGGCGACAGAATGACACGTGTCAGACGCGGTGCTGACGTTTATAAAGTGGAGCTTAGCTCACACATGTCTGAGAAGGCAGACGAAAGTGTATGCAAAGCCTATGCAGACAATCCTTCACAGGGTTTCTTTCTCCATATAGAAACAAACAGCTTAAAAAATAAGTTTATTAAGATAGACACAAAATAAAACATGAAAAGATGGTAAAACAGGATCCACAGAAATTAATTTCACCACAGGGTAAAATCATTAGGTAAAAAGGCTGAAACATAGATCAAGACCAAAAAACATGACCAGTTAAAACTGTTGCTTTGCACCAAAGATGTAAACAAATGATTGGAAAGAGGGAAAACGCACCTACAGAGAATCTCCAACCTCTCCCTCTTAGATACAACCGAACAGCTGGCTGCTCAGTAAAGCATGCACGCCTATGTCTGAGGTTTAACAGCTGTACGTTTCAATCATGTAAACGGCAGCCTATAAACATCTGGTTGAACCACATGTTGAGAGGTGAATTTAACAAGCACAGCCAAGTTATGAGATCAGCCACGAGTGGCCTCCCTTGTACCAACTGATCTACCATCTCTCTTTTATTTGAAACCATCAGAGCCATGAAAAGACACGGCAAGGGGAACTCTTTCCCCTCCATCTGAAAGCCAGGCTGTGGACTGTCCCAGATTGTAAGCTCTACTCTACAGTAAGCAGGGGAAGGAAGTCATGGTGAGAAAGGCTTCTGTTCTTCTACACTCCTTCTGCCCAGGAAATTCTGCAGCAAAGGTAATTCTGAGATCTGCCTGTGGGCTTTTTGACAAGTTCGACAATCCTCGATCTCTATGTATATCCTCTATCTATGTATTAACACCACATTCATGATATTTAAAAGCATAAGATGCCTTTAAAAGAATAACTTACAAATTCTATTTAAAAGTTTTTTTAAGTAGTGTTTCAAATCAGAGACCTCCTTCTCCTGACCCAAAGCCAAGTCCAAGCTTATGTTCTTGATATTCTCAGATTCACTGCATATACTTAAAACCTGGGTTCCCACAGTACTAAAGTGATCACATCGATTTTCAGCACCCCACAGCTTCATACACAAAAGAGCATCATCCCACGTACAGTTTGGAGTAGAATTACCTTTGATGAAGGCGTCACTGATTGAAAGCTGTTGTCCTCCGGTGTCAGCAACCAAATACTCTGCATGCCAAGGAGAGCGCAGAGGAGGAAGGAAAGGAGAGAAGACATATGACTACAACAAACCCGTATAATTATACAGAAAGCACACCCACACGCAAAGAAAGTATTACTCACACGAGACCCTTCTGGCCCGGCAAACTCAGGGAAACGTTAGGCTAAAATGCCTCTTTACACTTACTTAGCATATTTCATACTCAACGCAAAAGACCTGAATTAAAGAGTCACAGAACTGTGAACGACGTTATCTTGATTAAAAGTGTCAGAAATCACTCAGGAGATTGCTGTTCCCTTATCAAAACTTCAACCAGTTTGATCACCAGAAATGTACATATAAGCCTAAAAGGTTACATGGGTTTTCTCATGTATAATTTTATTCTGACTTCCTAATGACTTCCTCTTACTCAAGGTAGTTCACAAATAGAGAAGTCACTCAATAAAACCGCATTAAACGTCTTCTTGTAATTCAAGACAATAGGCAATAAAATAGAAACTAAATATATCATTCATCGGGATTTTTATTTGTTTCGATAGAAATGAGTTTTATTTTTTCAGTCTAAGCAATCACTGCTAAATCATTACCCCCACGAGAATCGTTAAGCCTACTTTGAGTGCTTCTAGAATGTTAATCATCCTTCATGGAAGTGAAACTTACTCTTCACTTCCCCAGGAACTTTTCTCTAGGGTTGTGGCCAAGCAAAGTTCAAATGGGATTCTTTCTACCATGCAAATTAAAATCACCGGTGCATTTCATGTCTTTTAAAGGCTCAGCAAAATCCCTTTAAAGTTCATTTACAGATAACTTGGTTTTTAACATCAATATGCTTTATAAACTTATGCTTTGTGAAAAAAAGTATGCTTATCTCTCAAATCGCCATGAGTCAGTATTTATTTTTCAAAAATTCAAGTATGCCAGGTCAAATACAACCAAGCAGAGATAGATCGTGAGCTTTCGCTCTGCTCCTCCCACACAGACGTAAATGATGCCAACCCCTTTCTATTAGTAAGTTGCTCTTATAAGCCTTACTTGATATGCTACAGCTTAAGCATGTACATCTGTGCAGATGAAATAACGTGATTTTATCACAGAAATACCTCAAGCATATATGAAGTTCTGTATAGCCTCCCACCTAGATCAGTAATTGTAATGCGCCCTATATGCTTTCTACGCATGTATCTACACACACACACACACACACACACACTTCAGTATGCATCCCTTCATAATGACATCCTGTCCTATAGCTACAATACCATTAACATGCTTCAGAAAACCGACAATGTCAATATAATCCATACACACATTCATCCAGCGATTCCAAAATATTTTAATGTTATTTTTCTCGAACTTCTATCCACTATCGTTCATGCACTGCATTCATTTATTCTCTTCCAGTCTCGCACAGTTCCCCACTTTTTTTTCTTTTTTATGACTTTTATGGCAGCGAATGTTGAAAGAGTCCAGGCCAATTGTTTTGTGGCATGTCCCACACAGTGGATTTCATCAATCATTTCCCCACGGGACTGACAAACTGACTCCTCCAGCCCATGTACTCATAGATGTTAGCTCTAGAGGCTTATGGACATGATGCTTTTCACCTTTTTCTGTAGTTTCTACTTTCAATTTTCCAAGAGCTGTTCAGTAGGGGTTTGCAACGTATATAAAATATATTTTAATTATATAAAACTCCCAGACCAAGAGTAAAAAAATTAATCAAACCAGATCACTGTCCCAGCTTCATAGACTTTTGAAAAGTGCAATTTACACATGTAAGATTAAAAACAGAAATCTTTAATAAAGTACAGAAATTTCGACCCATTTTATAAATTCAAATGCCCTCACTTTTAGAAGACAGAAGATAATCCATAAGAAAAAAAGGGGGGGGTATGTAGTATTTCACCTCTAATTCCAATGGAAAGGTAAAGACCACTCATTCCTACTGGTACAAGACGGTCAGCAAGAGGCAGGAGAATCCTATTACCAGTTTTTTGTCTTTACAACCAGGCTGTTTTAGCCATCTCTACTTTCTGGTCTGGTAATCGGTGTAAATCTTAACTACAATATTGGGGGAAATATTATCTCATTCAACCGCATACGAAGCATGAAAAAGGGGCAATCCTTGTTAGTTAGTATGCTAACAACTGATGAGAGTTTAAAAGTCCAGTAGCACTTGTGAACGGATTTAAACCCTCACATTATAGAATCTCAAGGTTACAAATGGGCAAGGGATCAGCATAATAATTATCTTTCTTTCAGAAGAGATGCTGGATTCTCTAAAATATTGTTAGTGAGTAGGATAAAGGATTCTTTATGCTTGGCACAATTTTTTTAGAATTCTAGATCTATATTTCTTGTTTCAGACTCAGAATTAAATGCAAACAAGTCTACTTAACCTCTCACTCAATGAATGCGCCTCTCGAGAATCCAGGGAGGTGGATATTCACATGCCTGATGTACACTTCTCGTGCCAAGGGACAAACACTCACTCTCCTAACTACTGAACCGAGCTCTTTCTTCATCCAATATGAAGTAAATGGAATTTCTTTGAGATACTTCAAACAAATAAAGGTGACACCAACTATTCTTTTCTCCATTTTAAATAGCCCTAAATCCCTCAGTCAGTCTTACTGTAACATGGTTTCCAGATTCCTCAGGATCCTGGAAATCTGCTCCATGCATGTGCAAGAACCTAACATAAATCTTGAGGACCTCTCGTGATGTAGTAAGTTGCTCTTTGAACTGTTAACTACAAGGTTAGTGGTTCAAACTCACTAGCCACTCCACAGGAAAAATATGAGGCAACCTACTCCTGTAAAGTTAAAAGGTCTTGGAAACCCACTGTGCTAATAATTTCTTTTTTTTTGCTAATAATTTCTTTTGGAAGAATTAATACCAGACTAATCCCAAGGAGCTGGGGATTAAAGATGTCCCAAATGTCCAACTCTTCCAAGATGCTATAATGTTCCATTATCCCCCAACTCCTCCCTTGAGCATAGTCTCTCACATCCCTGGATTCTGTGATTAACTGCAATATCTCACAGAAACTGAGGAAACTTGAAGGAAATGTCTCACGTGGTGGTGGCTGCTGCTCAGTCCAGATCCCAAGGTCAGGCAAAGGTGAGCCAAAAGCATAGTCCAGAGCAGAAGCCAGAAGTCAAAAAATGTCTGAGAGTCAAATCAGGTCTTCTTGCTTCTACCAAGGCTCAATCAAGAACTAAAGGGCTGGCTTTGACGGAAGTGTGACTTTCCCCTTTAGCAGACCTTCCTCCCCAGGAAACCGAGGAGGGTGTCTTAAGTCACTCTCTAGTAGGAGTGGTTCAGCCACATCAAACTACTGAACCTGCAAGTGACCCAAACTTAGACCTTTATGACATGAATTACTGAAATTGAGTTTCTCTACAGAATTGCAACAGTAAACTTTTAGACCTAATTATGCTATTTTGTGTTTGTGTCACATTTCTATCTTGTTTAAACTTTAACTCTGGTAACAAAAATGCTAGCCATTCTTTCCAGTTTTCACTCATTCGGGAATCTGAATAATCCTACAAGCGTGGGACGAAAAGGGTGCTGAACCACCACTGCAGACACAGAACTTAGGAGCATCTCTCTCCCAGGGACATTAAATAACCCTTTTGATATTTGGCACAACAACTAGAATAGGCTACAAAGATCCAGCTGTTACTTTAACAGTGGCATTACTGAGCTCTGAAGGTTTTCTCCATGTTAAGTTCTTTATGTGTGGTTCTCACATAATCGGTCATCTGGAAAGGGGTTGTTTTGGAATGAATTTGGTTAGCCAATGCTGGTATCCCAAACCCACTGCCACTGAGTCGATTCCGACTCATACTGACCCAGTAGAACTGAGAACTGCCCCTTTGGGTTTCCAAGACTTTAAATCTTTACAGGAGCCTCATCTTCTGCCCTCAGAACAGCTGGTAGAATGCTGGCGCCCAATCACCACCAATTCCTCTTCTAAACCTCAGAGTCCATTCTGTTCGCTACACTTGTCAACGAACTTGCCAACTTTCACGGTCAAATCTCTTTGAGCCTAACCTGTTGTTTCTGAAGATTAATCTTGACAGGAAAAAAAGAAGTTTCACTCAGTCATCAACTAACATTTTCTCAACTCCCTCAAATAATTTGTCTAACTTTTCTTTCTTTTCATGGTAATTTTTAAAATATTTTCTTAGATATGATTGGCATGCTCCCCAATTTGTACTTTTGCCACTCTGCCGTCGTTCCTCCAAGGGCTGGCCCCTCGGAGGGATCCATGCACACACGAAGGTTTTGCAGATGGTCTTCTGAAGAGCCTGGGTCCAGAGAGGTCCCAGGGGAGTCAAGGCAGCCAGAGAGGTGCCAGGGGAGTCAACAGAAGGTGCTTCTCCTCGGCCGTCACTTGGTGACTCACTTTTAAGTCATACTGCAAAAAGATCATCCGTACAGCCTCTGTTCCACTCCTCTCCTCAAACTCTGAGGCAGGGCTCGTGCTCAGCAGTGCATCGCTGGCTGTTATGAATTCTACGAGACTCCCTTCAAGACTCTGAATATACCCTTAGCTGTACAAGAGGTGAAAGTACCAAGTTAAAAATGTGCTTCCCACTGTTTTCTCCAAAATGAATTTATGGGTGTCCAGAGACCAGATGTCCTCCACCGTGGCACAGCATGCCTGTGAGCGACATTTGTCACTTACATTATGAAAGTCTGACCCGGTACCTTCCACTCGGCCAGCCTATCGTTCAGTAGAAGGCAGGCATCACTTCAGCTACACTGTCCTTTCATACTCACCCAAATGTTCTCCGGCACTCTTCTAATGTCCGCTTTGAGGGTTCTCACAAAGATGTTTGTCTCACTCATGTTCAAGGCTAGTCAGTCTTCTCCTTTCCCACAACTGCTTTGCATAGTTTGTTATGCAATGAGATGTGCCCTTTTTATTACTCTAACTCTTAAATGTCATTGTCACAGCCTGATAACAGCTATTATCAAAAATAGGTTGTATGATTGTGAGTTTATTTCAATTTACTCTAGTATAAATGCTTAAACTCAAAAGGACCACTTTTCTTTATTGACCATATTTGTAATCTCAAAATAAAAGCACCAAGAATTAAGAAAGCATTTCAGACTTCAATGAGGAGATAATCCAACCTTAAGGAGCTAAATGTTAAAAACTCAAACCCTAGGTGAATCATGTACTTCACCTTTATAATAACGATTTCTAGGAAACAGAACAAACTAAGGAGCCCTGGTGGTGTGGTGAGTTATGAGTTGGGCTGCTAACCACAAGGTCAGCAGTTTAAAACCACCACCTGCTCCATGGGAAAAAAGACAAGGCTTTCTACACTTCCATGAAGACTGATAGCCCTGGAAACCCACAGAGGTTGTTCGACTCTGGCCTATGAATTGGGGTCACTATGAGGTGGAGTGGAGTCAATGACAGTGAGTGAGTGAATGAGTACAAGTAAAATCCCACAATTCATTCATTTTACATAAGGCCACTTTAGGACTGTACTTTAAATTGGCTTTCAATTACATCAAACAGAGCAAATTGCATTATCCCTTTAAAAAGACATTTTGTGTCTTATGTGATACCATGTTAGACGTTAGTAATAGTCTATCTAGTTTCCCTTTCACAGCAAATGCCTGGTTATTTTTTAGTCAGTAGGCTGAAGCCACAAATAAGATAGCTAATAACAGTTTAAGTTTGTTTTATATTAGTTGGAGAGTACCATATAGTATAGCATGTATATAATGAAACCCACCACACCCGTCATCTGACTCATGACCCTAGATACGGTTCCCGAGACTGTCAATCTTTAGGGGAGCAGTCAGCCCATCATTCTCCCTGGAAGCAGCTGGTAGGTTTGAACACCAACCTTGCAATAAACCACCCAGTGCTTATCCTACAATGAAATAATAAGCATGGTACACTTATCATGGAAAATTCTCAAATGCTTTCCCCCACAATTGGGCTGAAGAATCTCAACAGGTTTCCAGAAACGCTGTGTGACTGGGTAAGAGCACAAGCAAACAGGCTTCAGAATGTTAAACGGAGAAAGACAGAAGGACAGAGCAGAACATCCATGTTCTAAATGCCAGGAGACGCCACGTTGGAAGTTGCACATTATGCTACGGGAGCGTGAGTAGTCAGGTGTGGTTCCTTTTGCAGACCACAAGCTTTAACCTGGGCCTGGGGCTCCTGAGGGAGAAAACGAGAAATAAAAGGAACCAACCCCCCCAAAAAAGATGTGGGAGGTGGTGTGGGGCAAATGAGAAAGGGTAAAACCAGCCCCACACCAAAACCCTCAGCCGTGTGGGCCAGAGGACGTAGGACCAGCTGGCATGAAATCCTGTGGCCCAGCGCTGCAGCCTGTGTTCGGATTCCAGAGGGCAACTACCTCCTACCTTTTTGGTCAGCAGGGTGAGGGGGCACGTGTGGGTACTTGGAGGGCTTCTTGATATGGAAGTTCACGTTGTCCAGCTCCACGTTCAGGCTGATAGAGGCGGCTGAGTCACTGTCCACTGTGGACTGGAAACTGCTTACTGATGTGCGCTTGCTAGGACTGGCAGAATCTTTTAGTGTTGGGAGGGGAAAGAAATATAGGGAGAGGAGGGGGTAAAAATGGGTTGCATCAGGGTATTGGAGCAAAGGAGAAAAATGGTTCTTTTAATATACAAGCCCAATGTGCAATACCAAAATGGAAACAGTATTTTCCTGCACTTGTGTGTGGACTTCATAAAATTTGAGCAAGTTAAGTATATAAAACCAAATTTTAAAATAAAGGAATAGAGTGGAGGTTCTGCAGAAAGAAAGTCTGACATTACAGTGAAGAGGTAAGACAGTTGTCTGCTGCGGTATTATTAGCTCAAGAGTTATTGTTAAGCTGCTGCAAACTAGAGACGATGGTAAAAATCTAGAAACACCAGAGGCCTGAGACATTGGTTTTTATGAAAATCAAAAGGATTGCTGGCCGATGTTTACACTTAGTTGGAGTCAAGTCGTAATTCTTCCAGAATGATGCTTCAACTGAACGAGCATGACCCTGATTTTATTATGCACACAGAGGAAGGAATTAAAATCGAAACTTAAAATGCCAGGAAGCTAAACTCACTCGTCAAGTTATCGTCACCTTCTTCGGCCATCTGCTCCGTGTCGCTGTCATCGAACTTGATGTCTTTAAACCAGGACGGCTCAGAGTGCCCCTCCACGGAGTTCACAGAGTCGCTGTCCGGAGAAGGCGTCTCAGGAAACTCTGTCCTCTGAAAGGAATCAGGACAGCACCCAGACAACTGACCCTCTGTGCCACCAACCCCGTGGCCGTTATAGCCCTCGACTTCTACAAGTCTAACCCCTGGATGCATGCATGCAAGAAAAATGAAATAAAATCTAAGCTGTATAAAAAACAATACATAAAAAGTATGTTTATAAGCCCACACCATCCTGGAAATTCCATCCTCAAGATAAAATCCTAATAATCATTCACCAGAAGGTACACTATCATACAAAATACTTTATCAGAATTTACAGTGTTTCAACCTTTAGGTGTAAGAGTAAAGATGGCTTAAAAATTCTTCTACCCAGAGGAAGAGTTTCTCCGTAGGAGGCACTTATTGAATGGTGGTGCCCCAATGTGGAAAGGGATATCAATAATGGGCAAACAACACAAGGAGTATAATCAGTGGCACTGAATTATACATATAGAAGTTGCTGAATTAAAGAATGTTTTGTTGTGTAGTAAAAAAATTACATGCTTAACAATGAGTACAAGGAAGAAGAAAACGTTTTAAAAGTGTGGTAAAAATTGCACAACTCATTTTGATATGGTTGAAATATTTAATTGTATATGTGGGTGAAGTGCCATGAGCACTATTTTTAAAAAACTTTTTTTCCTACCCCTGCTCTGACACGCATCAGATGATCACTCAGATTTAAGCAAATCACCCACACTGGTCCTTTGGGTCATGTGTCGCTTTCTCACACCACTGTGTTTCCTCCATTAGTTCACAAAGTGTGACTGAATGCTAATATAGATCAAATTACAAAAGGCAACACTGAAACTATCTTTTCATAGAGCTCAATCATTAAAGAAAGTAACGTCTGCATCCCTAATTATTTTTTAAAAAACAAGATAAAACTGAAAACCACTAAACTTAAATGACAAATAATCCACAAAGCTGAGCTGAAAAAGATGTTTGATTCTAATGGGTTTACCATCGCCATCAACTGCCAAATAAACAAAAATGTTTTAACTTTCTTTATACAGCATGGGAAACATGTTAAGAAAAAAGCATATTTCGGTAATTCAACTACTTTTCATCCCCAATGATGGAAAAAAGTGTTAGAATCAAGCTTGCAATGTTCTCACTGCCCGTAATAGCGGCAATCACCTGCAGAGGTCTGTACAGTGCATACTCATCCCGGAAAAGCTGGTCGTGGTGACTAACGCAATCCAGCCAGCGGCCATCGACCATCGCTTGTCCGATTGCTATGGCCTGAGCCCTGAATCAACACCAATTAAACAAACAAACAAACAAACGTTATAAATGGCAGCCCAAATCATTTTACAAGAACAGAAAAAGACACAAGCGTCACTTTTCAAAGGTCTAGTCAGAGCTGCAATGTCAAAGCATCCTGGGGCAGGTGGTAAGTGAGGACATGAAAACACACTTGAAGCTAAATTAGAAAATTCTTCCAAGTTCCAGAGTACAGGAGGAGCACCTCCTGGGAAAGCAGTCTCCCCCAACCCAAGTTCAGCACAAGCATTGAGGGAGCCATTACACACCCTATCTTCACTCACCCACACCCAGCGCACAGCCACGGGGTCGAAGCTGACTCACCATGACCCTGGGAGTTTCCGAAACCAAAGCTCTTTACAGGAGTAGAAAGTGTGTGTGTGTGTGTGTGTGTGTGTGTGTGTGTGTGTGTGTGTGTGTTAAGGGCAGCCTGGCTCCTATCCTAAGGAGAACATTAAATGTTATAGACATAAAATAGAAATTAACCTATACAAGTCCAAGGCTCAAAGAGATCAAAATAACTTAGATACAAGCACAAAGCTTCAGAGAACTGTCATCAGAGCTGGGATCCAAAAGTCACTGAGTAATGCTGCTTCTCTGCCCACAGCTTATCTCTGCCCATGGGACGAGGAGCTAGCCTAAGCAAGTGGTTAGAGCTGGGGGAGGCGCTGGCTCAAAAAGCAGCAGGAGCCGGCAGTCACTCTGCTTTACAAGTAATGTGTGAGGGGGCTAGGACCTTCCAGGCATGGCTTATGGACGAATTCTCAAGAGAGACTGTAATATCTAGAAAACAGTGACAGGAGAATCCACGAGGTAACACCCCACCTACGTCCCCGATACCGCTTTACTAGAGTTCTGCATTTGGTCAATGACTGCATGCTTCTGTTTTTTTTATTGGATTTTGTTTTTTAAATAAGGCTAATAGGACCCAAGTGAAGTGAGGTCCCATGTGGCTTCCTGCATCTGTTCTACACTGGTTAAACCCAGATGTGAGAAGGAGTGATGATCACCCAAGTCATGAGATCTGGGCAATGAACAGCACCCCCCTCAGCAAGAGATTTACTCTCCTTAATCTCCCAAAGGACTGGACGGTGTTTCATTGTTGTGCATAAGGATGCTAAGCGTCGGAACTGACTTGCTGCCAATGTCAACAACAATCTTCCAATAATATCCTCATTAAAAACCAATTAATAAAATAATATCAAAATGTCTTTCTGAAGATCACAATACCTTGTAGCAATGTGTCCATTTCGGATTAGCCAGTTGACTAGTTCCTTTCCCACAATGCAGTTGGGGTGTGTGCGTAGCCAGTAGCGGTGATCCTGAAACTCCATGCCACTACTGTGATGGCAGATTTTCTTCCACAGGTCCTTCAACTGCGCACTGTCCTGCAATCACATTGAGAGAACGCAACTGCTCATGGAAAGATACTGGGTCCCTCTTCAGGGTCTTCCGTGTGCTTTTTAGATCAATTAAAAGAAGTTCAATCCAGTCTGCTTTATACTAGCTTAGACACCGGTGGCGTGGGGGTTATACCTTGAGCTCAGCTCATTGCCGAAGTAAGTTTACCCCAGAAACTCAGCTCTCCCAAAGATTTCAGTCAACAGCATATGTAACCAGCTTCCTAACGACGGAGGTACTAAACATCATACCCCTCTTTGGACATGACGCAAGCAGGGAGACAGCAGTCCCTCACACGGCGGCAACTGTCCCCAGCCATTCTCACCTCTACTCAATTGCCAGCTTATTTTTAAAAATGCCCACTGTTACTCAGTGTGGACAGGCACCAACCTGAACTTGTAAAATCAGAATTATTGCTCTGCATACCAGTCCCAACTGATATTCCATCAGAGATGCACACAGATTCCAACTTAAATTCTTACCCAACCTCTACCAATTACTTAACCCACTTTGCTGACTCTCCCCTCCGTAGCTTCCCTCACACTTTTAACCCTTCTCTTTCCTCCCTGCCTATCCAAACCCATTCTTCAAGGTGCAGCCTAAGCCCTTTTGTTGAAAGCCTCTCCTGACTTCTTCATGAGGAATGATCTGTTTATTCTTAGACTTTGGATAGGGTCCATGGTCCATGTTATTCATTTGGCATTCATTTTACTATTACAGTACGACTTCTCTGCTGACAACCTGCCCAATAACAGACTTGTACAGCATTGAATGTTTGAAGAGTGTTCCATGTGTATGGGAAACAGGTCTCACGGGTTCAACATTCATCTGGAACCTAACTACCAGTAAATAGTAAGCACTCTTCTTAGGTAGACACCTGAATTCTGATCTCTGGGCCAGATGAAAGGTGACAAGAGAATATTAGCACAATATGAGGGAGATTCAAAAAGGTTGGAGGGGGATAGAATTAAAATAAAATAGGAATTGTCCACAAACTTTTTTGATGCCCTTCTGTATGAGTGAAGAATATTGGAGCAGTTTCTCAAGGCATCCTAATAAAAATTTAGGTTATTTGCTGTTTAATTTATATATTAAGTGACTATTCCCTTCATTTGCTTCTCAAAGAAAAAAATCAGCAGGATAAACGTCCTTTATGCTCAAAGCACGCAGTGGGTCACGGGGGTCACGGGGCGCAGCCCAGTACCAGAAGCAGTCTGCGCTCGTCCTCCGTGGTCTCAGTTCTCGCATACGTGCGAGTGGCCTGGGGGCTGACAGACGTCTCGTAAGAAGGCACCATAGGAGACACAGATCGATCCAGGGACAGGTTTGGAATGCTGGCTGATCTGAAAATAAAGGCAAAAAGGACACAAAGTTCTAAGTTCTGCAACAATTAATAAACTTACAGTGAAAATTCACTGTGAAAGAAATGCCACCTCCCCCCCCAAAAAAGAAAAAGAAATGTTCCCTTGCCAATATCACATGTACTTTTTAAAAATATGCAGTATAACTATTATCCCTTTATAATAGACTAGTTCACAAGTTATTCAAACCATTTTTCCCTTAAACACAGATATATTTTTAACTATTGTTATTTTTTAACTATATGCTATTAAACTCGAGGATGTATTTAAGTCTCTTTTGTTTTTCTTCTCCTCCCCTCCCAAGTAGATAAGTCTGTGCTTTTTGCATACAGTGATTTAAGTTTTGAAAATGTTTATGCTATAGTAAATCAGTAAGTGTGTGATTTACAGTATTCAGACGACTCTGATTCTTTTAAGTTTTTATAATATCCTTTACCACAGGTAATTAGATAATTATGGAGAAAATAATTCCCAATTAACTGATAAAAGCATGCTGTCCTCTGCTGTAAAAAGTCCGAATAAAAACTGTGTATGTTTTCCTATCCAGGAACATGAACTACTCCTGTCACATGTATTTTTAAAAGTAATTATGATAGTCTACATCAGCAGTTCTCAACCTGTGAGTCGCGACCCCTTTGGGGGTCGAATGACCCTTTCACAGGGGTCGCCCAATTCATAACAGTGGCGAAATTACAGTTATGAAGTAGCAACGAAAATAATTTTATGGTTGGGGAGTCACCACAAAATAAGGAGCTGTATGAAAGGGGCGCAGCCTTAGGAAGGGTGAGAACCACTGGTCTACGTGTTCTCAGTAGGAAGCCAGGTAAAGGGTACAGACATACTCCGCAGGGTGCTTGCAGCTATTAGGTGAATATCAAATTAGTTCCACAACCAAAGTGTAATTTGACCATTTCTCACCTCATTGGTGTAAGCAATGAGTGATTTCCTGAATGATCACAATTGCCTTTAAAAATGGTCTCCCGGCTTCTACACTTATGCCTTATAATCTACACAAGAGAGCAACTCGAGTGTTCCTTTCAAAATGGGATTCAGATCATGTCCCTCCCTCCCTCCCATTCAAAACTGGCCAGCAAGAGGAAGCTTCCTTGGAGTAGAACGCCAATTAACAAATATAAAAGGAAGGATTGAGTTAGATAGAAAAGCCTCAGTTGGAAACCAAGAAAGTAACCATGTAATTCAAGAAAGAATCACAAAACTAACGAGTAAAGGATAAATGTGGAGCAAGGTGTTCATAGTCTCAAAAAAAAGTTATCTCTACTGCCCATTACGTATGAATTACCAAGGAGAGAATGCTGACTTTGCACAGTGAGGAAGCCCAGTGTGGACACCATCTCAATGGAGAGAGCACGTCAGCAGCGTCAATCTGTATTATGCTCTGCCCGGCGGACCAATGTGAGAAGCATCCATCATCACTACGGTAGCACTCCAGAGAAAAACTGGCAGAGCCCAAGTTTCATCTTGAGAAAGCATGAGGCAAACCCAAATCAAGGGGCATTCTACTAAACAACGGGCCTGTAACCTTTCCAACTACCTGCATCGTGAAAGATTTTAAAAGGTCCAGAATATAGCAGCAAATCAAAAAGGACTGCTACAGAAAGCACAGACACCTTTAGTAAGCAAAAAGGACAAAAGGTGGAGCACCTATGGGTTTTACTCCTTTCAAATTTTTAAAAAATTGTGAATTTTGTGGGGCCGCACATATCGGGTCATCATTTTTAAAGTTATTGTTACTGGCCATATCCTCCACCTAGGCCTGTGGGCTTGGGAAGGCAGCGTTTCCGTCTCTCACCCCCCCCACACACCAGGACAGCCTTCTGCTGGACACGGAGCTGCTGAGTTGGCACCAACAGGGCCGCACCTAACACAGCCAGGCAGCTTCCCGCAGAAAGCTGCATCTTCTAGTAGCTCCACATCAAAACGGCAGTTTGGGCGCCATCGAGGGACTCAAATCACATTCCTTGTAAATGGTCTTTAAGCCTGGAGAATGAATATCAGTCTGAAGGGGCAAGATCGGAGTGGAGGAAGGAGGGAGTTAAGATTTCCCAATGAAATTCTCGGAGGACAACCTTTTGCTACCCTCACAGAATGAGCAAGTAAATTGTTTTGATAGAAAAAATTCCTTAGTGCAACTTTCCTAGCCTTTTTCTCTCACATTCCTTATTAGAAATTGATCACTGTTACCTTTCCTGAACTCATACTATAGCTATATAAGAGAATATTACTGCTCTGAGTAAAAATACTTGTTTGAAACTTACTGTCATGTGGTTCAGGAAAAAAGCACGTTACATAAAAAGTGACAAAGCAAACGGGCAAACTGTAAACAATTACTGAATCTCAGTGAAGGCTATAGGAGAGCTCGTTTTACTATGTTTCCAACTTGTCTCCATGCTGGGCTTTTTTTCCAAAATATCGAAGAATTAAGTAAAACTCTCCAGTAAATAAGTTGCTAACTCATTCGGAGCACATGACAAAGTCCTTCAAATGAATTCTACTCTGCCCCTGGTCCACCAGGCCCCTTGCTACTGGTTTCTTTTTTTGGTTTTTTTTTTTAATCATTTTATTGCAGGCTCATACAGCTTGATCCATTGTGTCAAGCACATTTGTACGTATGTTGCCATCATTGTCTGCAAAACATTTTCTTTCTACTTGAGCCCTTGGTATCAGCTCTTCATTTTTTTTTCCTTCCCTCACCCACCCACCCTCCCTCAGGAACCCTTAATAATTTATAAATTATTATTTTTTTCATGTCTTACACCAACTACTGTCTCCCTTCACCCATTTTTAGATTGTTCGTCACCCTGGGTGGGGGGTGGGGGGGTATATGGCAATCTTTGGGATCAGTTCCCCCTTTCTCCCCCATCTCCCCACCCTCCTGGTTATCCTTGCGCTCATTATTGGTCCCGGGGCGTCTACTGCATGGCCAGCAGTAAGTGTGGTGCTGAAAGAAAACACTGGGAATATATTCGAAACCCCCAAACAATCTACTGTCCTCAAGTCAATTCCAACTCAGCAAAAGCAGGCCACCACATCTTGTAGCAGGTGGGGTCACACCGCTGACCTTTCAGCTGACAGCAGAGGGCTCTCATCCCCCTGCCACCAGGACTCCAGAGAGTGCATCAAACCACGCTGCTGCAGAGGCCTGCTAAGTATCAGGTTCACATCACTTTTTCAGTACCCAAACTTATTAATAAGGAAAGTATTTTCAGTGGGGAGATACAAGTGTTAGAAGACTCTAGGAGGTTGACAAAGGAAGAAAAAGTTTTGAAAAAGGAAGAAAAAGTACCTAAGTAGAATGGCTACACGCTAAGGAAATAAATCACTTGATAACACAGGTAACGAGAGGGTGAACAAGAGGGTATTAGTAGGGGCTACAGCAGGACTAAACACAGAGGCCTGGCTGAATGAACTGAGCCCTGCCGTGAATCTGCCTGTACCACTGGACTGAGAACCAGGGTACTTAGATGGGAAAGGAAGCCGAGTGGCCACCCTGGGGCTGTGGAAGTGGCAGTCATTGGACCTTGGGGGAAACCCCGGACTTGGTGAGAGTCCAAGGGAAAGGGACCCAGAATTGCCATTTATTTAATACCTCCATACCCGCCTTGCAGTGATATGACAGGTTTGGATCTGTTGGGCAGGAATCTGCACTTGAAAGAATTGATACAGGATGTTTCTCCACGGCACCAACCCCCATGCTTAGCGTCAACAGAGCTCAATCGAATGGAGACGGAACCACGTAGGGCAACAACTCAAGGCTGCGCCTCACGGTGGAACTGTACCCGCAGAGACCCTTCAAATCAACAATGTCCGCAGTGCTCTGTCTCTGGGAAAATTGATGCTATCAGTGCAATCGCCTTACACCCCAAGAGGATGGTTGGCAATGTTTTACATTTTTTCCTATGGAGTTTTGCTTTCCTGTCTTTAGCTTGTTTGTTTGTTGTTGTTGCTGGTCTTACAGGGATTTATTTTGGCATCATATGACGGCCGAAGTAAACCTGAGTAGTGCAATATCCTGTGGACAAGCAGGTGGATTCTGCGTCCCCACTAAACTCTAGTTCCAATTCAGGAACAGTTAGTTCTGATAACATGGCCCTGCTCCACACTCACCTTCATGAAATGATCACTGAAGATAAGGGTCTACAGATAAGTGTGCTGAAGAAAGCAGATGGTGCCCAGCTATCAATCAGAATAGTGTCTGGCATCTTAAAGGCTTGTATTCAAAGTATTCAAACAAGCGACCATCTAAGTGAAGAGTCAACTAAACCCACAGGGAAGAAGGGCACCAGCTTGTGTGATCCAGAAATGACAATAACAAAACCCAAATACAATGAAGGGAAAAGCATCAGAGCTTAAACGATGAACATCCAATTTGTAGAGAGTGTGGAGGACAGTGGGAGCCCAAAACCCACCTGCAGAGCATCCAGTCAGCTTAAGCTGCTGGCAGGTCCTATCTCGCCACAGGCAAGATCACTGTAAACTTGATTATGCTGGATCAGCTTGATACTTGGGTTAGTTGACCTCCCTCTTGAACCAACAGGAATTTGTTCGAGGTGCAAATAGTTCTTGCTTGTTCCATGACAAACATTTCTTCCTTGGCATTTTAAATATTGATGGTGGTCATTTCTTTCTTACTCATTATTTGTATTTTTATCTTTCTATTATTATTATTTGATCCTTACCACTTTATTTTGTTTTTTATTTTTTATTGTTGTTAGGTTTCCCAGTTTGTGAAGCACAGAAGGAGTAGATACACAAAGATAATAACTGATGCAAGCGATTATAGAGGAGGTAGGCATGGGTGTGTGTGTGATATGGAGAGTGAAGGGATTTGGGGAGCAATCAATGAATGCAGGAAGGGGGAATAGCACTAGAACTGATTGTGATTATACAACTCATTTTAAAAGATATTTAACTATGGACATATATGATATGTGAGTACTATAGCAGGAAAACCACGGGGAAAAAACAAAAAACTTAACCAATGGTTACCATAGGTGAAGAGAAAAGAGTAGTTGCTAGGGGGCATTGATTTATGTTAACTGTGGTAGAACAATTCAGAAAAGGATTATCAATAGTGGCTGTCCAGCAATGAAGAGTATAATTAATAACAATGAATTATACAAGTTGTGGAATTAGAAATATTCTGTTGTGTATATTTTTACCACAATTAGAAAAATAATAATAATTACATGAATTACAATGACTATAAGGAAGAGGAAAATGTTCTTGAATTGCATATGATGAAAATTGTACGATTCTTCTTGATATGGTCGAATTATTTAATTGTGTGACATGTGGATAAAGTGCTAACAAAACTGTTAGGAAAAAGACGCATTTCCTCTTTTCTTGCTGGGTCTGGGTAAGAGAAGATCCGGGAAGATGCCGACAGAAGTCTGAGTGAGCTGTGAGTAATTTTTGCCATCCTGTTGGGCTGCAAGTGAGCCCTCTCAGAAGTGGGAAAGGGGCCAGGAGGACCCACTCCCATCAAGAGAGAAGGGCCTGGAGTGGGTACATCCTTTGGAACCTGAGACCCTTGCACACTGAACCTCCTTGATCCAGAGACAGGAAACCGACACCAGAGAGGAGACAGCGCCTTCCCAGGCGAGGGGTGGCAGTAAAACCAAGAGCCAGAGCAGGAGACAGTGGCGGGCTTGCTGGCCCACAAAGCAAGTAGAGCTGAGTGACCAGACAGGAGGCTTGTATTCAGAGTGGAGTGCCTCCAGGCACCTAACTGGGAAGGTAGGCTTAGAGACTCATAGGCTAGGGTTGTGTACCTTCAGGCTGAGGCTCATCTCAGAGTAGCATTCGCTTTGGGCATTTATGGACAGTGTTAACAATGCTTTATAACCTTATCCTAGCAGGGAAGAGGCCAAAGGCTGAGGCAAAAGGCAGAGAGATATGCCTGAAGATATCACTGGGAAGAGTTGCTCCTGACCAAATGAAGTGTACCCTGAACCTTTCTGATCTTGAATTGTAGCCTGCTAATTGCTGTAATAAAGTTCATATGGTCCATGAAAAAAAAAACCACGAAACGGTGCTAGTTTTAATGAGTAAATGTCAAGAGTAAGGGCTCAGCAAAGGGAAGAGTAATAATGGAACGACTGATTAGAAATGAGAGGGGTTAGTATCCGGAATACAAATGAAGGGCCTTGGTTCCAAAAACACTGCCATAGCGCTGATGCCAACTCATATTGACCCTACAGAACAGGGTAGAACGGCCCTGTGGGTTTCAGAGACTGCAACTCTTTACAGGAGTAGAAAGCCTCATCTTTCTCCCACAGAGCAGCTGGTGGTTTCGAACATCTGACCCTGCATTTAGTCGCCCAATGGGCTATCACTACACCAGCAGGGCTACTGGTTATGAGGCAGAAAAGAAAAAAATTTTTTAAAGGATAGCTCCGAATGTCATCAAGATGACAACTGGTGACAAAAACGCAGGAGGCTCCATCGTCCCTCTTTGCTACATAACTGAGCGAGGAAAGGAGCCGGGCATGGGCTCTGAGATCCAAAGCCAATGGAGACGACCAGACAGCTCCAGGGGAAGAGTGAGTACTGAGCGGCAAAAGACGTCATTCAGCCTCTAGAGCCACGGGAAAGGACAACAGTCAATTCCATGCTTGTTTGTCTGTTCCTCTCATTACCAGGGGAAGAAACAAAACACACAAAGGACAAAGTGCTTTCACTGGGCAATTTACCTGTTTCGGGCCGGAGACTTCCCAGCATCCTCTTGAACAGAGACAAGTCTCGTTGACAGAGGAGAATTTGAAGAATCTGGATGGATCAAACTATGAAGAAAATAAGTAGTGAGATTGTTTGAAGCACTGAACAGGTCAATATATTTAAAGTTGTTAATGGGGTGCTATTGTATTATAAAGCATATTATGTCACTGTCTCTGTAATGAGATTATGAGTCGATTTTATTTCTTAATTTAGTGTCCAAATTGTATATGGCTTTTATCTTAAGTTTATCAACTATCAAAGGGTCGGACAGGGCAAGATATGACAAAGTAATAATTTATAAATCATCAAGGGCTCATGAGGGAGGGGGAAAATGAGGACCTAATGCCGGGGGCTTAAGTGGAGAGGAAATGTTTTGAGAATGATGAGGGCAATGAAT